TTCTCCAAAATAGATCACATACCAGCTCATAGAACCTGCTTAAGTAAATGCAAAGGAACTGAAATTGTCCCATTCATGTCATCAGACCATACTGCAATGAAATTGGAAGTCTATTGCAAAAGAAACCACAATAATGTTATAAACACATGGAAATTAAATAGTACCCTCCTGAACAACAAGTGAGTCACAGATGAAATTAAAGAAGAAATTAGACAGTTTCTACAATTAAATGATAATGACAATACAACATACTAGAACTTATGACACACAATGAAAGCAGTCCTAAGAGGGAAATTTATAGCAGTGATTATCCATATCAGGAAAACAGAGCAAGCTCAAATAAACAACTTAATGTTGAACCTCAAACTTCTAGAAAAAGAAAAGTAGGCTAAACTGAAAACTCATATGAGGGAGGAAATTATAGAGATCATAGCAGAAATTAACACATTGGAGACTAACAAAACAATACAGAGAATCAGGCTGGGGATTTAGCTCAAGCGGCACAAGCACCTGCCTGGCAAGCATGAGGTCGTGAGTTCAATTGCTGGTGCCAAAAAATATAAAAAAGCAATGGAAAGAATCAATGAATCAAAGAGTTGGTTCTTTGAAAGATTAAATAAAATTGGCAAGCCCTTATGTAATCATATCAAAAAAGGAAAGAAAAGATTCAAATCCAAGCAATTAGGAATAAAAAGAGTGAAATCTCAATAGACTCTGCAGAAATACAGATCATCTATACCTATTTTGAGAACTTATATTCTAATAAGATGGAAAATGCAGAAGAAATGGACAGATTGCTAGATACATAGGAATTACCAAAACTGAATCAAGAAGATTTTAAAAATTCTAAATAATCTAATATCAACCAATGAAATCAAGGATGGAATTTAAAAACCTACCAACAAAGAAATGCCAGGCCCCGATGGATTCACTGCTAAATTCTACATCAAATTTAAAGAAGACCTAACACCACTACTTCTCAAACTCTTTAGTGAAATTGAAAGAGAATCAATATTCTCAAATTCATTCCAGGAAGCAAGCATTATCCTGATACCAAAACCAGAGAAAGATCTAACTAGGAAAGAAAACTACAGGCCAATCTCCCTAATGAACACAGAAGCAAAAAATCCTCAATAAGATACTAGAAAACAGAATGCAGCAAATCAGCAAGATTCTACCCCATGACCAAGTGGGATTCATTCCAGGGAGGCAGGAATGGTTCAACATATGTAAGTCAATAAATGTAATACACTATATTAATAGAGCCAAGGACAAAAATCATATAATCATCTGAATAGATGCAGAAAAAGCTTTTGATAAAGTCCAGCACTCATTTGTGATTTAAAAAAAAGCCCAACAGAAAATTGGAGTAGGTGGTCTTTACCTCAATCTGATAGAAGCTATCTATGACAAACCAACAGCCAACATCATACTAAATGGACAAAAACTGAAAGCTTTCACTCTAAAATCAGGACCAAGACAAGGATGTCCACTATCTCCACTCTTATTCAACATAAACTTTATGCTGGAAACTTTAGCCACAGCAATTAGACAAGAGAAAAAAAAAGGAATAATAATAGGAAAGGAAGAAGTTAAATTGTCATTATTTGCAGATGACATGAAATTCTACATAGACGATTCCAAAAACTCCACTAAAAAAAATGCTAGATTTAATAAGCAAATTCAATAGCATAGTTGGATACAAAGTTAACGCTCCAAGATCAATAGCCTTCCTATACATGAACAACAAACTCACTGAGAGAAAAAGTAGGGAAACAACACCTTTCACAATAGCATCCAAAAACATGAAATACCTAAGAATCAATCTAATGAAGAATGTAAAAGACCTCCACATTGAAAACTACAGTACTCTGAAAAAGGAGATTGAAGAGGATATCAGAGAAAAAGATATCCCTTGCTCTTGGATAGGAAGAACCAATATAACGAAAATGGCCATGCTTCCAAAACTGTTATATAGACTTAATGCAATTCTGATCAAAATTCCAATAACATATCTCACAGAATTAGAGAAAACAATCCTAATATTCTTTGGAACCAGAAGGCACCTAGAATAGTGATTCTGGGCAACATTGGCAAGGCAGGGGG